CCAGTCCCGGATTTTCAGTATTTTGATGACAATGTCATTGCCTTGCCAGCGCCCTTTCCACAACTGCAGGGAGAGAGGTGGAGACAGTCACTGTGAGAGGACACGTGGTCCCCATGCACTTCCCAGCCCCCTGCACAGGGCTGCAGGGTCCACGGAGCCCATGGGACCGACAGGTCCACAGCAACATGAGTGACTACGACGTGAGAGCGAACCCTGGCCTTTCAGCCCCGGGCAGGCACCCTCTCTCTGGACGGGCTGGCCCCATGCTTGGATGTGGAAGCCCACCAACAAGTAGTCATGCCCCAGTTCTGCACTCCGCAGCCAGCTGGGGGCTGGGGGGGGAAGAGCAGTGGTCTGCATGGGAGCAGCCACCCTGTCCTGGGGGCAACAGGCCCACGTACCTCTCCTGACTGGTTCTCATTGAGTTTCTGGCTCAAGCTCAGCTGTTTGAAGTCTATTCCAGCGAGTTTGTTGAGAGTCCCGTTTCCTGTAAGGAAAGGAGGAGATGCAGCCTGTGGCCAGTACCAGCAGGACGCCTCGCTCTCGTGGCTACCACATGAAGGTGGCTACCTTCAGCGAGGGGAGTTCCATCTCCAACATGAGCCCCCTTCAGTGCAGACTGCCACCCCCTCCCCAGAAGCCTGCCCTGCCAAGCAGGAGAGCTGTGCTCTCCCCTGTGACAGCATCCCCACCGGGGAAGGCTCTGTCCTTACTGGGACGCGTGCGGGTCGTGCCCTTCCAGAAGGTGTCCTTGTAGGGGATCTTGGTGAGGCTCTGGCCCAGCTTCTCGGCACGCTCTGGGGGGACAAGGAGTTTGGCAGCACAAGCAGGAGCTTGCTGGTGCTCCAGGGGCTGCAGCTGGAGCCAGAGGCAGGCTGTGGGGTCAGGGTGGGAACCTCCTACCTTTCAAGACCTCCCGCAGTGGCGTCTTGGCTTTGTCGATGGGTGTCTCACCATATTTGTTAGCAATGCTGACCAAGGCCCCATTGCCCACCAGGTCCTGAGGGAGGAGAAAGAAAGCATCTACACAGTTTGCTGTCCCGTTCGCGGCATTGATGTCTGCTTTGAACTGGATGAGCTGGGGGCAGGAGGACAAGCCCCCTCAATCTCGAGCAGGTCCCTTCCCCCAGCGCCTCGCCCCGGGAGAAGGCAGGAGCACCATGCCTGCTGCCTTGGTGCTGGCGAGGTCTGCTGTTGGGAAGGGGCTGAGCCTGGATGCAGGGCTTCTGTGGGGAGGTGCTCAGGGGCACCGAGGTGGGGACGCAGCGAGCTTGTGGCGAGGAAGCCAGCAGGAGGCTGGGGAGCAAGCCCTGGGCGGACAGGGCAAGGGCTGCCAGGGTCCCGCTCAGTCTGCCACGGGGCGGGTGCCCAGAGGGCAGCGGGGAAGGGGCGGCGTGCTGGCTGGGGGGGGGGGGTACCCTCTGGACGGTGTCGCGG